GGTTTACAACCACTTTAAAGCTATTGTTATATGTCAGAATATATTACATTGAATACATTCTCATTAATTGGGTAGAGTGGTCCTCAAAGTCCTAATTTGTACTTAGTACAAACTTTGCAGATTTAAGCAGGAACCAGATCTAGGTAGGAAAATTTGACTTTCAAATTGCAGCATCTTTCATAATCAGTTTGTCAGATAGGAATTTGAAGCTAAATAAGTGGAACCGTCAGTGATGCAGTGAATGATCCTTACACAACCTGTCAGTCTAATTAAAATCTGGAGCCTCATCGGATGGGTTCACACGCCCTGTACGTTACACAACGCGAGTTGTATAAACTATGGACAGGTGAGAGACTCGTTGAAGGCCCCTCCCTTTTAAAAACCACTATAAGATTCTGCAAATTCTGAGGCTGGAACCAGAACCATTGAAAAGGTTTTTAATTGCAAAACCAGCAAACTTCCACCAACAGACATGCCAGCAGGTGAACTCTTCACAGTCCCCTCAGTCCGAGGTGGCACCAAGCCAGAGGCAGCAGAAAGCAGGAACAAGCAGAAGGAGTACCAAGTGGTACAGGTGAAGAATACTTGGTGCCGTGTTGAATGCGGTCAAGAAATGCCCACAACATGGGAGGAAGATCAAGTTATTGTCTCCCAGGCTAAAATGTAAGTATTTACATGATCAAGAATGTATTCTGGTTTATCAAAAGTAAACCTTTTTTTTATTAAGGGGCTATTAAAGTAAGATATAAACCATAAACAAAATTGCATGTCAGTTGCTCTTTTGCTGTTCAACTTTTTTTCATCATTTGCTACATCTCAGTGCTGCTGATCTCATGTAGTCTCTTTGCAACCACTTCTTGTCTACATGCACTTCAGTGATGGCTGTATGGCATTTCTCAGGGTGGGTTTCCTGATGGTGACATGTGTTGTCAAATAAAAACAGGAAGTGCCTTAATAAAGACCCTCATGGTAGGATCACCAGGTATTATTTTAATAAATTCTGCAGATTGAAAATTTTTTTAAACATTATATTATATTTAGAATCATATTAACACGACAAAACATATATGAGAATCTAGTAGTTGGGTTTATATTCATATATACGGTATAGTGGCACTATATATGGCAATATAGTGTGTGTATATGTGTGTGTGTGTGTGTGTTCATTTATTTATTTTTTAAACTAACAACCAACTCTTCTATGTTCTGATAACTCAGCATTAATTGTATCCTACATTGCAATGTATACTGTTATTATTATTATAAATTACTTCTATATTCAGTAAACCTATCTGGTCCAATCACATTGCGCTTCTGTGTCAACAAGCATACAGTATTTATAAAGCGCCGATAGTTCACTCAGCGCTGTACATTACAAAGGGGGACAGAACATGTTAGCTATTATTCTTAGGTAACCCATAGATAAGTAATTTATTTTTGTTCAACCAGCAAGTTTAATGAAAAAAAAATAAATGTCTTGATCCCCCCATCAAAGTGGATGGGAGAATCCTCTCAGCTCAGCTATTGTATTCTTCCAGCAGGGAAATGTTTCCACCGTAAGAATGATAAAGCAAGGAAAATCCAACAGGGCGGATGTATAGAAGTCAGTTGGTAGAGTAACTTCTGTAGAATCTACATGCCTATACATGGATCGAAATTAAGCCAGTCCCTTTTAAACTAGTTAAATTTCGATCCATGTATGGCTAGCTTTATGCAACTTTAATACTGTGATTGAGCTACTTAAAATTGTCAAGGTACTTCTACCCTAATAGTGACTATTCCTGAATTTAGTAAGCATTTTATAGGAAACTAGAGACCATTATAGATTTTAAGTACTCGATATGGCAAAGTTGAACTTTGCTTGTACGGTAAATTTGATTTTAGGATATCAGTTGTTGGGTCTTACCTATAAATGCAGTTCACAGTCTTGATGGACTTGCAATTTTCCTGCCTGTTCACTTGTAAGGGCAGTTGCAATTCTATAAGCACACTCCTATGTAAGAATAACAAACATTTAACCACTCTCTCAACCAGGGATCACTGGAACCCTAGGGGTTATACAAAAGCTGGATCCAAAATCCCTTCCTGCAAAGAAACCAAGCTTCTAAACAAACCTGCTGAATTTCGAATCTTTGGCATGAATGAAGCTGATTGGCTATAAAAGGAGATTTTCTCTCCACTGAAAATAAACCCCTACTTCCAGAAGTAAGGAACAGTGAAAAGTTCCCTTTTCAACCATGGCCAAATAGTCAATTTAACAATAACAGGCACTTCCTCCTGACCACCAATGTGGAGATTCATTTTTTTTTTTCAACCATGGGTTACTGACCATCCAACCACATTCAGTAGGTGAAGTAACTACAATATTCATGACCTGAGTTTCCAGTGGTTTTGAGCAGCCAATATTAACGATATTTCCTACAACCACCGTGTCCATACAAGGATCAAAATTAAGTCTCTTATTACTGACAAAAAGGAAACCTTGTGTCATAGGAAGCAGTGTAAATGACTGTCAAATAAACTAGAGAGTAACACTGACCATATTTGTTATTCTTTTATTTATTTTCTAGTCTTATAATCCCATCCGTATGTTCAGCAGTGCACAAATGTCTGAGCAGGGGCGGACTGACAACTCATGGGGCCCCCAGGCAATAGGGGATCATGGGGCCCCTGTGTCCTTGCCCAAACTCAAAAAAGCCTATGAAAAAGGTACCAGGGGCATCTCATGGGGCCCCCTACTGACCCCAGGCCCTCGGGCAGTGCCCGAGTTTCCAAATGGTCAGTCCGCCCCTGGTCCTGGGAGTTGTAAATCTAAAAATTATTAGCAAGGGATTCCTTGGACCCGAACGTTTTTCAAAGATTCCACAGTGTTAAACTGGTTGAGAAAGGCTGATCTAATATGTAATACTACTTTGTCTGTGTGCCTTTATGCATACAGGTGAAGCTCCTTGGACAGAGTTGGGTGTGTGCTTGACATTAACAATCAAAACATAAAGTCAAGTTTCTATTGCTGCTTCTTCTCACTCCCATTCCCAATGACACCTTGTTGCATCCTAACACTCACCATACCAGGAAGTCATTTTGAAACCATTCCCCCTCACTTTCAGTCCCGATGATGGGTAAATAGAAAGGGAAGGGAAATCCTCCCTATGGTACTGGAAGATCCCTGCTTGGCTGTTGCATGTGGGAGGAACTAGTAACTCTTGATGGGAGATGTAAGAGACCAGTGATTAATTTAAAGAGGCACTGACACTTTGACTATTCAAAGCCCACCCCCCAAGGCATATATATTTACCCAGTTACACCCCCTGACCAGCTTCCCACACTGCTAAGCCTTCCTTAATGGACTGGGGCTTTCAGGTATGTGACCCCTTTGTGCCGGAGCCTCAGCAACCAATCACCAGACACAAATACTGTAACATGGGAGGGAAGTGGGGGGGAACCCTTTTGCTTGCCTTTATCAGGCCCTTGGGGCACTGTCTCTTTCATTGATACAGGAATTATTTCCTCTTACTGGCACCATTTTTTACAACGACAACAGTGTGGCATAATACCTCTCAATGATGACAACAGTGGGGGCACTATTAATTACACTGACACCAACGATGGGCCATACTTCCTTCCTCATGTAAATGTTGGAAAACAATTCCTCACACTGACATCAAAGATAAAGCACTATTCCTCCCACTGATACCAACAATGGGGCACTATTCCGAGCAGTGACACCAACAATGGAGCACTATCACTCTCACTAACACCAGTGATGGGGCACTATTACTTCCACTGACACTAATGATAGGGCAATATTGCTTCCACTAACACCAATGATGGGGCACTATTACTTCCACTGACACTAATGATAGGGCAATATTGCTTCCACTGACACCAATGATGGGGCACTATTTCTCCCACTAATACCACTGACTGGGCATTACTCCTTCCACTGATATCAAGGATGCCAATGATGGAACACTATTCCTGCTCATACTAACCAAAGCCACTATGTAATTTTTTTTTCTCCCACTCACCACCAAGCCTGAGGAATTTTCTACTCCCATTGACTATAATGGGCCACTGGCCCTCCTGAAGTCTGGAGGACAGTAAACTGGCACTTTGTTTGAAAGGTTTGGTGACCCCTGCTATAGACTGTAATGTCAAGCTCTCCATCTTTAATTATTCATCTATGTGGTGTGTATCAACTTGGTGTATTAAGTCATTCATTTAACACATACAGTACATTTTGCAGCCAGTTTTACTGATCAGCACAGATTCTATGTAAATGAAATCTGAACTTCAGTATGATGCCCGAAAGCTGTGTTTGAGCACTGAATAAAGAACATTTGAAGTGCTGAACTGGTTTATGTGGAAGCAATTGTCATCAACAAGAAGTGCAAAGAAAACCAGCAAACCAGCTGTTAAATCACCTACAAAGTATTTTCCGGCTGTATAGGCAATAATGCAGATTAACTTCTTAGTTGCATTACCTAAAGTTACCTTCAAGCAGATTGAAAAGTAAATAAATGCATAAATAATCACCATTAATTCAGATTTCTATTCTTTAACAATTTTTATCTTAAATACTTGAATACTGTAAGATGTAAGTGTTCTGTAATACTCCTCACAGCAGCAGACTGACAGACAATCAGGTTAAGCTTCTTTCATATTTGCTGACAGTAAGCATTTTACCAACAGAAGGAAGCAGAATGAGCAAAGTGATGTCTCTTCACTCTCATTATCCATATTTTGATCATTCTATCAATTCTATCCAATATGTTATTGTTATCTGTAATTTATTTATTTTTTTTATTTTGCAGAGTCGAACAGGAAACTGAATCCGGAGTCTCCTGGACTGTGAAAGCTCCAATTTACTTCTGTTACAAAGTGATAGAAAAACTCAAAATCTTCTAAATCCAACAAACAAGATTCTTCTTTACGGCCATATATCAGACCCTCAAGAACTAGATGACTACCAAAAGAAAACGCAAAAGCGCTTTGTTGTGATGGACACAACCGTGGAGCAATTATATGGTTCAAAAGTCAGAAAATACTTTGAAGTCCACAATGTTGTTTACAAGATCCTTACCCTTGAGACCACTGAAGAAACCAAGTCAATGGAGCTCGTCCTGCATATCTTGGAAGAAGTCCACAAGTTTGGCCTTGACAGACGAACCGAACCAATCATTGCCATTGGAGGAGGGGTATGCTTGGACTCCGTGGGCCTAGCAGCAGCTTCACTTTACAGGCGCCGTACCCCATACATCCGAGTACCAACCACCCTTCTGTCCTATGTTGATGCCAGCGTGGGAGCTAAAAATGGAGTCAACTTCTGCAACTGTAAGAACAAGTTAGGAACCTACACCCCACCAATTGCCACATTCCTCGACAGATCTTTTATCCAGACCATTCCACGTCGCCACATTTCTAATGGCCTTGGGGAAATTTTAAAGGTAACTTCATGTTAACTAATGGGCTAAAATTAGTATTAATTCCATGCATTACTTACTCTTCTAAATGTAATGCTACATCTAAACTCTTTTAGAGTACGGTTCTAATTTTTAGTATGTCATGTAAGGAAAAATCCAATCTCTACTCCACATAAAAATCAGTTTTGGCTTTAGATATACTTTTATTACATATTGTGTTTTACATTACTGTTCAAGCCTTGCTGTTGCATATATCAGTCTGTTATAGATTGTAAGTACTGTATTTATCTATATTTTACGTCTCCAGTGCTACACTTTTTCAGATGGCTATAATGAAGCACAAGGGGCTGTTTGAACTGCTGGAGAAACATGGCAAATACCTCTTAGATACAAAGTTCCAGTCCAGGAATGGCCTTGCCTGCCATGGTGATGCTGCCCTAACAACCACAAGACTGGCCATCCAGACTATGCTGGAAGAACTTGCTCCAAACCTGTGGGAAGATGATCTGGATAGATTGGTAGACTATGGACATATCATAAGCCCGGAGCTAGAAATGGTACATAAGATTGAATAATTTATTACATATTATAAAACACGCATAGTCACAATAGGTGGGTGTGTGATTTAAATTATTCCAGTTGTAAAATGAGGCTGAAATATGCTAAACAAGTACTAGGCAGAGCTAACTTCAGGAAGAAAGCAAAAAAGGGCGCACTCTCCTGGTGCATTACCATGATAAAAAAGAATTTATTGAAAGTGACAAAAGTATATACTTACAAACAAAAAAAGTCATGCAAAGAAACACAAGGAACCAATGTGACAGTCCCAGCAAATGGCGGTCTTGCGACAGGGTATGCTAACACGTTTCGGGAGACAAACTCCCTTCCTCAGAGCTAAAACAGAGCTAAAAAACTAGACATGTTGGAAGCCTATATAGGGGAGCTCCCCTATATAGGCTAGTTGTTTTAGTTCTGAGGTAGGGAGTTTGTCTCCTGAAACGTGTTAGCATACCCTGTCGCAAGACCACCATTTGCTGGGATTGTCACATTGGTTCCTTGTTTGTTTACATGACTCTTGGTCTGTGGGTATATACTTTTATCATTTTCAATCAATCCTTTTTATCACGGTAATGCACGAGGAGAGTGCACCCTTTTTTTCTTACTTCCAGTATTAGCAAGATTCCCCGATCTTTAGATGGCCGCACCTCAGCGACTGACTGTTACTGTGTTCCTGGGATGCTTATAGACCTGAGCTAATCAGTTCATAATTGCCCTGTTTTTTAGGGAAAAAAATTAAACACCCACCAGAGTTAATTGGTATCTTCTTAAATACAGTTTTTTAATACCTACATTTATGCATGTACAGGTAATTTTACCATCATTTGTACTGTCCCCGTCCAGATGCATTGTGTTTAAATGACTAAAGTCACTGACGTTGCTCAATTTGTAAAGTAAATGTTAGTAAACACAATGAATTTGTGTTTTCTTTGAGTACCCAACAGGGCGGACTGACCATTTGGAAACTCGGGCACTGCCCAAGGGCCCAGGGTCAGTAGGGGGCCCCATGAGATGCCCCTGGTACCTTTTTCATAGGCTTTTTTGAGTTTGGGCAAGGACACAGGGGCCCCATAATCCCCTATTGCCTGGGGGCCCCATGAGTTGTCAGTCCGCCCCTGGTACCCAATCATCTGCAAGGAAAATTTTTAAAAATTTATTTTTCACCAGCACATGATTGGTTGATGCACACCCTTTCACCTTATTTCCTGTACTCATTTTGCAACATGAACAGTTTCAGCCCCTTTAGTAAAGCAACCCATTGTGTCAGGTTAGGCCACAGACCTAACAGTGTATAGTAAAAAGCTATGGGAGAAATACCAAGCCAGCCATTGTTGACCACATTTTGAAAAATATTACCTGACCAACTTTAACGTCAACATTTCTAAGTCACAGACCCAGAACCAATACTAACTGAAAATACAAGTCAAAACTTTGGATCTGCATACATGTATTAAGTCAGAATCCTAGAAAGTACCAAAGCCAAAGGGTCAATATGACATCTGCATACTTACTTACTGTAGTTGTAGTCCTCTACCATTGGTATTGATTAACTGTGTATTTTATATTGCAGAAAGTGCTGCCATCTCTCATGCATGGGGAGGCGGTGAACATTGACATGGCATTTATGACTTATGTGTCACATGACATTGGGTTGATCACATCGGAGGAGAAGAATCGCATGGTGCAGTGTATGAGGAACCTGGAGCTGCCGGTCTGGCACAAAGGCTGCTCTCTCCAGCTAATAAAGAAAGCCTTGGCTGAGAGATTCAAGCACAGCGGGGGAAAACTTCGCCTTCCGCTACCCACTGGGTTGGGAACTGCAGGTATGTCATAGTGCTTGAAGGCAAATATATTTATACCTTAATTTAATAGCCAATGTGCAAGCTATTTAGCAATAATTAAAGTGAAAACCAAACAAACTGTTAAATCTACATGTTAAATACATAGAGTATACATTAGTTATTTTATTTGCCAAATGATTTCTCCCAGTCTGAGCTTTGCTGTTTGTGAGATTACAAGAGGCCAGTGCAAGTCAAAGTCTTAAATTTACTCTGTGTGTTTAGCCATTTTTTTGGGTTTGGTTGGATCAGGAAAGGGTTAAAACTCCTATTAGGTGGTTTTCTATCTGTGCTCTACTGGGAAGATTTCCCTTTATTTCCTGTTCCTAGAATACAACAGAAAATGAGCGGAAACCCCCCAAAGTGAAAGAAAATTCTCAACTTAATCAGCTGTCAGCAGAACATTTGTCCCCATTGGAATATTTCACCTCAATTCCTGTTCTGGTGACAATTCTAATATTTTGGATTTTCCATCACATTTATGTCTCACAACAATGGTCCCCAGTACAGAGAGGGGTAATCTGCTCAGCGGGGACACAGACAGCAATAAAACCCTAATACAAGAACAAACTGTATTCAGATTTTCCAGGGGTACCTGAAATTGTCACTTGGCACACTGACTCTGGTTTGGCAGCACTCCACAAAACAAGAACCATCCCCAGGAACAGGGAAAGACCCAGAATTGAGAATCCACATACATATAACCCAATGAGAACTCCAAGCAAATGTCCATGGAGGTTTGATAATAAAATGTATTCTTAGCAGAATAAAGCCAACACATTTCAGGGGCAAAATACACTCCCCAAAATGCACCCTACCCCAAAATGCATTGGCTTTATTCTGTTATGAATCAATTATATCATATAATTACCTTGGACTCTTGGACATTTGTTTGTCACTCTAATTGGATTGTAGGTAATGACGCCTTGACAGATGTTCTAACCCATTACGACTCTATCCAAAACAGGCTTCAGTTACACTTTACTCCTAAGTTACTCCTAAAATGGTGAAATTCCACTCACCCAATAAAAGAAATCCATCAGGGTAAAGCTCTCTGTTTTATTGGCTGCATTTGGGGAGGTAAAACGTAGACCTCAGGTGTAGAAATCTAGGTGATATTAAAAGTCAGCATCTGCACAACACTGAAATACCATTTGAGGGTAAACAAGTCTTCATTGGATTGTTTTCTGTCTTTTATTGATCTTCATGTTTTTGACATATAAAGCACTATTCCATGAAATGTGACCATTTTTGTCTTTTTCTATTCTTAGAAATTTTCAATGAAGTGGGTGAAGAAACAATTAAGAGTGCTTTTGCAGCTTGGCAAGAAGAACTCCGAGAGTTCTCAACATAAGCAAAGAACTTCCCACATGTCATCCTTAATGGAGGTGAAGACAGAGATCCTGACATTTGTGCTAAAACTCATTAGAGGGCTTCATGTTGCCTTGCTTAGTTTAAGAATAGAGTTGAACAAAATCAGCTGTTCATGTGTGTGCGCTAGTGTGCTGGACTTTGGGATCTCAGATTATTAGGCAAATTGAGCCTCTGGATAATGCTTGAAAATATCTTCAAGGGTTTTCAACAAATCACTGGCTTATGAAAACGTGTCTAGAGGTTAAACAAGCTGTAAAAAGTTCATGAACCTATGGCAACCGATTTGAAGTCAAAATAATGGAAAAGAAATTGTGATTGGCTGCTTGGCAACTGCCCCCTGCACGCTGCTCTTTGCTTAGTAAGCATATGAGAGTATTGGGTCATATGGTTTAGTGCACCTTATCTATGGTGTGAGTTAGAAAATGGAGATCAGTTTGAGTGTTATGTGTAGGGTATGTTAATTATCCTTCAATAGGAGGCTCAAAGAGTGTTATTATGTTATATAATGCTGTTATATCAGATCCAGTGCTGGCATTGGAGACTTTGAGCAGATAGATCTAGATCAGGGGTCTCCAAGCTTTCTAAACAAAGGGCCAGTTTACTGTCCTTCAAACTTTAGGAAGGCCGAACTGTGGCCAGCAAGAGTATAAAATGTCCTGGTGGCAGTAAACATTGCCCCATCTTTGGTATTAGGGGAAGGAATAGTGGCCCATCATTGATGGCAGTGGGAGGAATAGTGCCCCATTGTTGGTGTCAATGACAGGAGCTATGCCCCACTATTGCTGATAGTGAGTGGAATAAGGCCTCAAGGGCCCTAGTTTGGAGACTACTGCTCTAGAGCAAGGAACCATCAATGAGAGAAGCATGGTATGTGTAGAGGCAGTGGCGATGTTGTAGGATCAGCGGATTTTGTATTTTTGCAGAACATTTCAGTGGTTAGTTCTTAAATGATGCTTAATCAATTTTAATCATGTGTTTTCTAAAGATCTTAAAGAGAATTTAAAGTCCTACAGAGTGCAATCTGGGCAGGAAGCTAAGTGAAATCTCCCACATGGGGATGAAGACTTGAGTAGAAAACTGCAGTAAAAAAAAATAAACCTGACAGATAATACTTTCCCAATCCCAGATCTTTCCCAAAAAAAAAACCTGACAGATATTGTAATACTTTCCCAATCCAAAAATTGTTGTGAATGCATTTGGGCTTTAATCACTTCCCGTCCGGCCGTTGAATATAAATGGCCGGACGGTGGCAGTGCAGGGTCGGGTGGCCGTTTTTTAAAGGATTTTTTGGGTCCCCTGCTTGTGCGCGCTCCCTGTGAAACACTGATCGTTGGACGGGACCTCTGTGTGAGGTCCCGGTCATGTGATCACCGATTGGCCAATCAGTGATCACATGCAGAGTAGAAAGCAAGATGTCACTTGTGACATCATTGCTTACTACATGTGAAATCTGTGAATGATCACAGAGGTCACATGGCACAGGGCTATTCACAACAGACTTGTACCATGTGACAAACTGTGACCAATCACAGCTCACTCAGTAGTTCTCAATGGCTGCAAGAATGCAGCTAGAGAGAAGGAGAAATGATTGCTTTTACAGCCTTTATGGGTGTAAAAGCAATCAGTGTACAAAAAAAAATCTTCATCACCCTCCACAAGTAGTACAGTGTCACCATGGTGACACTGTACTGCTAGGGTGACAGTAAGTAAAAAAAAAAAACATCAATAATAATATAAAAAAATAAAAGAAATGTAAAAAAAAGTTTAAAAATTATAATTTTTGGTTATAAACTAATTTTGTTTTTTTTTTTTTGTTTTTTTTACTAAAAAGATAATGGAATAAATTTTGGCCAAGATTTATAATGAAATACTATTTATTTGCAAAAAAATTTTATAAGAAAAACACTTTTTTTCAAAATTTTTGGACATTTTCATTTACATAGCAAAAATTAAAATCCCAGTAGTGAATAAATACCACCAAAATAAAGCTTTATCTGTCTCAAAAAAAATGCTTCTAAAAAATTCATATGGGTACAGTGTTGCATGACTGCGCAATTGTCATTCAAAGTATGATAGCACAGAAAGCTGAAAATTGGCCTGGGCAGGAAGGGGGTAAAAGTGTCCGGACATGAAGTGGTTAAATAAGGGCTTTAAGCACCGAATGCATTGAAATTAGCTAATAACTATGATGCATTTTCAAAAAAGGAAATGTTCTGTATACAAAAAACTATTGTTGAACCAGTCAACCTAAAAATCTTGCAGATTTAAAGGATAGCTAAACGAAAGAATGAAAGTGAATTATATACTCAGCTTCCCAGTTCTTAGATGTGGTGGCTTCATTAGTTTTCATGCTCGCTAAGTACATCTTCTGCAAATAAAGAAAAAATATTTCTTTTGATTCTGCCATTATTTCAGTGTTCTTGTTACTTCCTGGCACTGAACTGAAATCTCAAACAATTATCACAGCTTTCCTTCTAAAAACTACTAAGCAGTACTCCTCTATGTAAGAAAGATGAGATGAAGGGAAGGTGTTATTTGTCCAAATTAGAAGAGTAATCTAGGACGACAACACTGCGTTGCCACCCCTGGACAGAAGTGTGTTACTGCAGGGGCGGACTGACAACTCATGGGGCCCCCGGGCAATAGGGGATCATGGGGCCCCTGTATCCTTGCCCAAACTCAAAAAAGCCTATGAAAAAGGTACCAGGGGCATCTCATGGGGCCCCCTACTGACCCCAGGCCCTCGGGCAGTGCCCGAGTTTCCAAATGGTCAGTCCGCCCCTGTGTTACTGGCAAAATCACCAGGGCAACCTCCAATGATACAGTAGGAACCCCCTACTTTCTTTCTTAAACTTTGCAGTGGAAGGATTCATCAGGATTCATCAGAAATGCACATTTTCACTGTACCCGTTTTTGGATTGGGATATTGATATTTATTGTGTATTATCAACCAAACTTCCTTACAACTCTAAGGTTTCCCCACGGGTGACTAGGGGTTTGAGCTGTGGCTCTCTGATGGTACCTGCATAGTTCCAGGTCCAAAGCCACTTTGTAGAGCAGGCGCCATGACTGCAAGGGTGTCATTCAAGCCACCACTGTAAGAGGGGCATTCCTGCCACTCGCCACCACCAATGTAAGGGTCATTTTCCCAATCCAATAACCTCCAATGGACTAATAATAATAGGGATTCCCTGAGACTTGAAATTTGTTTCAAGGGCTCCTCTGGGGTAAAAATGTTGAGAAAGGTTTTTCTTTATTATTATTTAATTGAGGCTTTGTGTAATTACAATCCTCTTACCATAAGATGAGAGCTCTGTAAAAGCCGCCTTCATCCAAAATTTGCATGCATGTTTTGCTTAGCTGTAAGCAAGTAGAGTTCATGGCAATGTTTTCCATTAGGCACATAAGGGTACTGTGCCTATCGCCCAAGAAGGTTTTAAGGCCACCACAAAAAAAGGGAAAAATCCATAGAATGGATAAAGGGTTCCTAAACAGTTACCGGCAGGTTACAAACAGGATTCGGTTTGTCCTTATGTTGAATTTGTATGTATGTTGGAACAGGTATATTTTTTAAGTGTAAGTGTAGCTCCAGCCAAATAAATTATTTTTACCTTTTTTTTGG